CAACATTTCGACCTCCCGGCCCCCGGGAACCATGGTTCTACGATGCTGCTTCTATGTTATTTGACTTCTTTAGATTCCATATTTAAGTGAGAGCATGCAGGGTTTTTTGTTTTTTTTTCTTCATGGACTTTTTTGGAAAGTGGATAGCCACTGGGGGAAACCAGATGGATGTGAGGGATTATTATGACAACCCAACAGCAGGGGGTGGAGGAGTCAAATGGTGACCAGGCTGAGCGGTGAGGCTGCAGAAACAGGCACTGCATTAATGACAAGAAACAAATCTATGTGAAATGTCTCGAGCCCAACACTTAATAGGCATCTGACAGATGTCAGCTCTTTTCCCTTTCCCCTTCCTCCTTTGCAGGCCAGCTCACAAATCCCTTCTGCGGGACCCAGTGAGCTAAGGACGGGGACTTGTCCTCTCCTGGGCTCACTCAGAGGCAAGGTGATGTTCGAGGTTTGTCTGGTACCAACTCTGAAACAGGCCAGGGTCCCTGCGCCCGCGAGTGTGAGCTGGCCTGTAAAAGCCCTCCCGAGTTAGGAAAGGTGGTTTGTGAGACATCGCTCTCAGGCTGTCTGATAGCGAGGTGCCCATCTGAGCGTGTCCACTGTTGACAGCACTTGACAAGCGTCACGCTGGTCCTGCTTCTAGATGCGGCACAGTGGGGCTCTGGCCTGCATAAAGGCAGTGTGGTGCAGCGGAAGGAGTGTGGACAAGAGGTCAGAAGGCTGGGCTCTGCCGCCCGCTCGCTAGGTGACCTTGAGCATGTCAGCTTGCCCTTGCCGGTATATAAACCGTCTCATTAGGACAGCGTAATGAGATAATGCCTGGGAAAACGCTATGTAAACTAAAGCACTAGACCTAGGTTAAGGTGTGGCTGTTAATAAAACCCCAAATGAACATTATACCCCAGATGTGACCTGAGTGAGCTCAGAAACTACAGGGAGTGTTGCCTGCATCGGTCTGGATCCAGCTTCACCTTATAGAATCCAGTCCCATTTTAGCAGTTACATCACCATCTTAATCACGTGGAGCTTCTGGCCCACCAAGACGTACTCCCGCTGGCTTCTTAAAATCTGGGCTGCACCCCATTTACCACTCTTTGTTTGGGCAATCGACCTTTCAAAACTAAATGGAGACTTTGTGTTCCATTTGCAGCGGGTAAATTTAATCTTACAGCTCTGGCCCATCTATACAGGCTATTAAAAGGTTTTTCATAGTACTTTGGCAATTCCACGCGTTCTCTCTCCCTGCCAACTTGACAACAGCCGCACATTTCAACAGTGTACAATCCATGCATCCGTTCGTTCAATATACATTTGCTGAGCACCCACTATGGCCTAGACACTGTGACCAGAGTCAGGAGACACACAGGGTCTATCTGATAGAGGGTGGCGGGTGCCAGGGGGTGGGTGCCAGGGTACTGTTCTCAGCGCTGCAGCCACTGGAGGCTCAGAGAGCGGGGCATTCCCAGGGCTGCCAGCAGCCGTGGGAAGGTTTCCCAGTTCAGAAGATTTGGCAGTGGTCAGTGGCCATTCTCCTCTTCTTTCTGAGCACACCCCTGGACTCTGCTTTCCAGCCCTGATGATTCTTGGTGCTTCCACAGGAATGACCAGGTCTTTCTTCCTGGGCAGGTGAGGAGAGGAAGTCCACTGTGACGAGTCTCTCGTGATTTCCTCTGCCTTCCCAGCAAAGAAACTACAGGTAGGAATAGCTAGCCTCCTCTTCCCTTTCTAGCCTCACCCCATCCTCATCCCCGGGCCAGTGCACACGCTCATTCTGCAAATATTGGCAGATTTCCCGCTCTGGACCAGCACCATGTTGGGTTCCACTGCATTCTCTTAAATCCTCTCTGGGTTCAGAATGCTCACAATGGGGACCAGGGTGATCCTTCTCTACTGGGGGTGGGGGATCCTCTTCCCTAGCCCTTTCATCCCAGCCAAGATGAAGATCTGAACCTCTGCATCCCTACACCCCTGGCTTAGGGCTCCCAGGCAGGATGTAAAGGTGCTGAGGGAGGGAGGAAAGTGTGAGGTGTCAAGGCACACCTTGTCCTCTCGGTCCCTTCCTTAGCAGAGTGCTGTGATTGAACTCTGAGTAAAGAGACACAGACTTGCCTCCCAGATCCGCCACCGACCAACAGTGGGACTTCAGACACACCCTGTCCAGCCAGCTCCGTAGACCAGGTCTTTGGGTCCCCATTCAGCTCTAATATTCTGATTCTTTCTAGGCTAATCCCTAATTCCTGGATGGATCTCCCACTCTCTTCTTGTCTAGCTTTATAGAGGAATAAAAAAAAAAAATCTTACAGAAAGAGGCAGAAGGAAGGGAAAGGAGGTTAGCCTGCTTTCCTTACAGTGAGACACGTGCTGGCAGTAAGCAGCCCAAAGCTGAAAAACAATCGCTAAGGGTTATAACTTCAGAATATCCTAAGATTCTGCCTTGCCAGAAACTTGATTTCTTTTAGGCCTGGCCTAATCTTGTCCAGACTCAAGTTCCAATGCTAATTGTCAAGACTGGTTTGAATTATTCATGGAATTTCTACACTGGAATGGTTTGGGGGATATCCTTTGCAGATGTGTTCATCCTTCCGTGCCTTCAGGACTTCCCAGGACTGAGCTAACTGGATAGGAGTCCCTTCACTCTCTCGGGCCTTGTTTCCTCACCTGTAAACAAGGAAGGCGGTTCCTCCCAGCTCTAGAAGGCCTTTGGTTCTGTGATGGCAGGTGCCTCAGCCTGCGATTCCACATGCCGCTCCCAACCAGCAGCAAACCATGGAGACACACACACACACACGTACACATAAAGGATGCCTTCTGACAATTAAATGCAAAAGGAATTATGCAATTAGCAAAGGACGTTGATCACACAACATGGGAGTCTAATTGCAGCACATGCAAATGTTCGCTAAATTAGATAAATATGGGTTTGCCATCACTCTGGTACACAGATTGAGTTGTAAAGTTAAGGAAAATATAGAAGTTGATTATGAGACAGGAGTGATAAACATAGGGTAGTGCACGAGGCCAATTAGGATTATTAACCAAGTAATCATCTCATGCTTAACGTGGACTGTTCTAGGAGCCCCAGGACCGTAGTCTGACGGCTGTGTAATCAAGTTACCATGTTTCCTAGAACATGAAACGTGTCCTTCATCTTTACATAGCATCTGTCACCTGGGGAGCTCCAGCACCTGGGACTGGTTGTATTGGCTCACCAACTGGCCCAATGCACATTGCTGAGGTGGGCAAGGCTTCGTGTAGTGACAAAGAAGAGGAAGCCTGGATCTTAACCATTCTCAGACTCTCCTGAACCTGTCACACATGATAAATCTTTAAGTCCGTGAAGTAGCTCCTATGTGAACGAACCTATTAGGGTCAGGACCGTCCACGGAGAGGTAGCCATAGTGAGAACCTAGGTTCTGGAGACAGACTGCGTGAATTTGAATCCTGGGTCTATCATTAATTCTTTGACAAGTCAGTTCAGCTCACTGGGCCCTGGTTTCCTCATCTCTGTCATGGGGACAATAGTATCACCTATCTTTTGGGGTAGATGCAAGGATTAAAGGAATTATTACCTGGAAAAGTACTAAGAACACTGTCTGGCACACAGCAAACACCCAAGAGGTGGCTTATTTCTTCCCATTTAGTTTCCTCTCTTCATTAGTTCATTCATTCAACCAAGTAACGGCCCACTATGCGCAAGGCACCATGCTAATGACAATGACCATAGCAGGGGATGCACGCGCACATGCATGCACGCCTTCCACCATCGCGCTGGGATTAGGGAGGAAGGGTTACATGTGTCACGTACTATTGAAGCGCTACAAAATGCTCCGGGGGGCATCATTCCTGCAAGGCAACCAGAGAAGGCCTCACTGAAGACAGGCCACGGGGAGATTTTAACAGAGGGGAGACTGAGTAGAAAGATGTGTAACATTCTAGGCAGAAGGTATAGCATGTGCAAAGATCCTGAGTCAGAAGATCCAAGGCAGGGGCAACTGGGTGGCACAGTCCGTTGGGCCTCCGACTCCTGATTTCAGCTCAGGTCATGATCTCATGGTCGTGGGATGGAGCCTTGCATCAGCTCCGCACTCAGCATGGAGTCTGCTTGGGATTCTCTCTCCCTCTGCCTCTGTCCTTTCTCTCTAAAATAAATAGATACATCTTAAAAACAAAAGATAACATTAAAAAAACAAAGACCCAAGGCAACATCAAGTTATTGCCGGAAGTGATGGGTAAGGCCAGAAATCAGTTTTGAGGTCATCTGTGTCTGGGGGTGGGAAGTAGAGAGGTGGGTCTCGATTTCAAGCCTTGAATATTAACTTTATCCTATGAGCCATGGAAAGTCCCTGGAACATTTTAAATGACAGATTTTAGGACAAAGCAGTGTTAAAGGAAGATGATTCTGGCAGGGTGAGCAGAAAGGATGGAAAAGGAAAAGACTGGTGACAGTGTGAACTAGGAGGCTACTGCAGCCATCCAAGCATGCAGTACCAGGGGTGAGAATGAAAAGAAATGCAAGGGACATTGGGAAAGGCAAAGGACAGGACTCAGTGACCAAGAGGATGTGCAGAGCAAGGATAAAGAGGAGGAGGAGATAACTGTACGGTTTTGAATATGAGTAGCATGGACAGAAAAGGAGGCTTGCTGGTCCACGAAAGATTCTGATTCCCAGTTGCATAGAGTAGAAGTTCTGAACATGGGCTTAAGGGTGGAACAGTTAGGTATACGTGCTCTGCTATTTGCTAGCTGGGTTACCCTCAGCCCGTTTTAACCTCCCAGAGCTTTTCTCATTTGCAAAATAGGGGTAAAAACAACATACTTCTCACGGATGTGAAGATTAAGTTAAGAGAATAATGTGATGAAAACGTAAAGCACCTGCAAAGTACCTGTCCAAAGAGAGCGCAAAGTAAATGCCGAACGAAAGAATGCCAGGGCCCCAAACAGAGGATACAAAAGTATTTAATAATACTCTGCACTCAAATTCCCCAGAACAAATATTCACGTTTTGATGATTCAGAAACTCTTTCCAGATCTTGCAGAAGCACCAACATCACAACATACTGTCATTGTGTTAAAGCCCCCCCCAAAGCACTAGTTGGCACATACTTGGATCAGGTTAAAAATAAACCAGCTCAATGTATGGCTTTTGAGCCAGAAGGAGAAAGAGCAATGAGGAAGAAACCCCGCTAATGGAATTGGACCACTGAATTTGGGTAAATTCCTCCCATATTCTCATCAAGGACCCCATCATCTTCCTTCCCCCGCCTCTCAGGCAACACCAGCTTCCACATACCTTTCCTGATTTCCTGTGACAAGCGTGGTGAAGATGATCCCAGGGGCTGCTGACCAGTCAGCTGGGGTGTGTGAACTTCAAAGGCCTATTGACACAGCTGCAGGCCCCTGAGCCAGGGGCCAGGGGGGCAGGCCTGTCTGAAATGCTTGAGCCATACCTCGAGAGCAGCAAAATGGCAAAGGGACCAATAAGCCATCCCAGTTCTTGGAGGGAGCGCTGTTATTTAGGCAACAAAAATTCAACGTGCCAAAGCAAACCGGTTCTATCAAATGGGCCCCTGGAGTTTGGAAATTACAGGCCTAAATCTTGGTCTCATCCATTTTCTGTCACTGCAGAGGTCTGCTCACAGCTGATGTCTGATTGCAGGCAAAACTGCCCTTCAGCCAAACTGCTGTGAAGTTTTCAAAAATACCCGGGACCCTCTGAGACAATCCTGTAAAGGTCCGAAAAAAACAAAAAGACAGCAAGCTCTGAAGCAGTCTGTCAGTCTGTCTGTCTGCCAGACTTCAAAGCCTGTGCCTCCTACAGGCTCCAAGGGAGTTCAGCGTCAGCATTGAGTCATACCACGTTGGAAGGTTCAAGGAAGCAAGTCTGCTCCCCCCATATCACAGGGGACACATGCAGCTCAGGAGTTGGGTGGCGTGTCTTCGATCACACAGCACGTGACAGTTCCTATGGTGGAAATCAATAAGCTAGCAAGATGTTGGATCCTATTAAAAAAACGATTTCCTTATAATCAAATAACAATTAATGTTTTAAAACATTTTTTTTTTTTTTTTTTTACATTCATCACCTCAGTTGGTCCCACACCATCAATGAAGTCTTTATGGTCACTGACATTTCCAGCCCCTTTCACAGAAAAGGAATCTGAGTTTCAGAGAGGTCCATGGCTTGCCCTAGGTCACAGAATTAGCAGGTGCCACATACAGGGCTAGAGCCAGAGTCTTTGGGTTCTAAGCCAGCTGGCCAGTATTAACCAAATCCAATTCTATGTCCTGGGCTGTGCTTAGAGGAATTAAGATGTGGATGTGCTGGGAGAAGAGATACAGAACAGCAGAGAGCAGGGGAGGCAATATGTACTAAAAGAGCCAACAAACTCGATGAGAAACCTTAAATGATGATGCACTTACTAATTCTACTAAGAGATAAAAGTATGTTATCGTAGAGGATTTTTTCTTGTTCAGTGTATTTTTCTCAAGCATTTCTATAAATTCAGTCCAAAAAAAAACCTGAAGCAGACTAGTGGTTGTAGGTTTCCAAAGACCTGCCCCAACAGCTGAGCACTGACAGAGTAGCAGGGGATGGCGGGAGGTAGCAGAAGGGGGCAGAGAATGCAGACCCGGGTGTCCAGGAGGAATGATTTCCTGGCCAAATAGTCTGGCTCCTAGGAATCTTTTTCCCCAGAGGGATTACAACCAGAAAAAATAAAAACAAAAATGAATGTTTTCATTCATTCAAATGTTTTGAATATTTTATTCATTTCAATGTTTTATTCATTCAGAAATGCCTGGATTATAATAATATACAGTAACTATCACTTAGTATTTACCCTAATGTGCGAACGTTGTGCTCAGTCCTTTACGTCCATTATCCCATCTTACCCCCACAGCAACCTGATTTCAGTGAGGAGAATGTGGGGCTCAGAGAGGTTAAGTAATTTACCTAAGGTCATACAGATGTCATGATGAGGTAGGTGATTCTGAACCAAGATCTCTTTCCCTCCAAAGGCCTGATTTGTATCCACATCCTATCCTCGTTCCAAGAAGATAATGGAGTAGAAGATGACTCTCCTTCTCCCTTCTCCAAACCCTGAGTTTCCCTCAGAGGCGGCCGTCTAGGATATGACACAGATAGGACATTTTCACAATGACATCAAGATAACAAATACCTCAAAATTTTGGTTAACCAGTATCTTGCCCTTTTTTAATAAAAGTGTCATTTTGCATTATTCAAACTGACTTAAAAACAATTCCAGATTCTTATTTCAAAGATTGAATTTGGAACGAAGCTTAGCACTGTTTAAAAAGCACATGTAAAACGATCCATTTTGTGGGCAGATTCTAATGCAATTACTGCAACCGATTTCCATACTGAAAAATACTGTGTTTTTATTGAGCATTTGCAGTTAAAGCTGAGAGGGGAGCTATCTACATCTTTTCAGAAGATCCTAAGTATTTTGCCAACAAAATGAATTATGTATGTCCTAGTCAATCTCTGTTCAGTATGATAAAGCAGCACAGTGAGCAGCTGAATTTTACCCAATGACATCTGGGTATCGTGGGATATATTAGGTCAGACCAGATCCTGGAAACCAGAAGTTTAAGGGGAATTCACAGGTGCCAAGGAGGGAGAAGATACCTGCTAGAGGAAGAAATGGGATGCTGGAGGGCCCGGTGACTGCCTGTAACCCTGTGGGGCAATGTCCCCCAGGCTGCCTTGGCTGATCAGGAACCTGCTCTGTCTTCCCGGCTCCCCACTCCAGGACACAACTGCGAGCCAGCCAAGCTTTAACTAACTCACTTAAGCTGACTTCGCTGATCATTCCAGGAGACACCAGGTCTCCTCCAGGGACTCTGAAGCAGCAGTCTGAAAGGCTCAGAAAAGCAAACAACTTCTCCAAATGAAGGCCATGTCCCTGGAAAAGAAAAAGAGAGAAAGAAGAGTGGTAAGTGAAAATTTGGCCTTGTTGCTGTGACCTGAGGGCAGCTACCGTACCCAGCAGTCCCTGGGCTCAGAGCAAGTGACCCATACATGTGGCCCAAAGGAGGAAAGAACAGAACGTGGGTTCCAAGGGAAGAAAAAGACCCACAGAAAACTAACTAAATAAGTAAGTACAATAGAGGAAGAACATAGAAAAAAGTCATATTTGCTAAATTGAGGGGTAGCAGAGAGGTCTCATATTTATAGGAGAAAAACAGAATAATAGTAATAATAATAGTAGTTAACACTTTGTGCCAGGCACTGTTCTACTGCTTGACTGTAAATTCCAAAAGTGCAAGGACTTTGCCTCTTTCACTCACCTGTATGCACAGAGCACCTCATTTAGGGCTTGGGAGCAGAGTAGGCGTTCAGGATATTATGCTTTAGTAAATGAATAGAGAAAACAGAGTCACGAGTATGGGAGGGGTTGGAAATACTATTTAGCTAAAGTAAAAAGAAAAAATTTAAAGGGTGGTAATTATGAGTTCATTTTCTCCAACACTGAGAACCAAGTAGGTGTCAGGCATTGAACTTGGCCCTGATGATAAAGAGGTTAAAAAACAAGGCATCCTCTGGGCTTGGTGAGATGGCACTCAAAACTAGGGCCTTATTCAATGAGCCAACATTTATCAAGCCCCTGCCCTGGGCCAGGCACCCAGCTGGGCACTGGGGGGAGAGAGAGATAAGGAAGTCCCTTTCCCTGCCCTCCAGGAGCTCACAGTGGTATAGGAGGGCTGTCTGTAACAGAGATGAATGGACAAGGTTGTGATCAAGACAGGAGGTGAGGAATCTGCCTTCTGAAGGGGATCAGAACAGTTACCCTTTGTTACCAGACTTCAAACAAAGGGTAATAATTGCTGATCAAGGAGGTTATGGGATTCCTCCACTGACTGGGACTTTTTCATGTAAGAAATCCCACCCACCCACCCCCAGGAATCTGTATATATACACTTTTTGGTATATATATACATTTTTAATGTTCTAGAACCTGGAAAAAAATGGGTTCTTCCAATCTACAAATAAGCACTAAGACTACATGATCCTCAGCTCTGTGGCAATTTTAAGACCAGATGCTACAATAGGGGCGCCTGGGTGGCTCAGTCGTTAGGCATCTGCCTTCGGCTCAGGTCGTGATCCCAGGGTCCTGGGATCGAGCCCCGCATCGGGCTCCCTGCTCCTCGGGAAGCCTGCTTCTCCCTCTCCCACTCCCCCTGCCTGTGTTCCTGCTCTCGCTATCTCTCTCTCTGTAAATAAATAAATAAAATCTTAAAAAAAAAAAAAAAGATCAGATGCTACAGTAATACAATGAGGACAGAACTCAGACTCCAATTCTATAAAAGGGTTCTCCGTATTTTGTGTTCAGTTATCCCCAAGGCATTTAAAAAATTTAGATGCGGTAATTGCTCGATATATGGCAGCAACTGTTGCTGCTGCAGCTGAGTCCAGGGCTGCAAATATCCATCCAGGGCTCATCCGCTGAATGAGGTTTCCCAAAGGAAGTCAAGGAGAGCTGACAGGGACTTCTTACCCAGCCGCCTGCCACTGCCAGCAGGCTCCGACCAAATCTAGCTCCACGGTGGGCACAAGCCAGCTCCAGGCTGTCCCACCTCCTGCGTCCCTTCTATCCACCTGCTTTAAACCCTGCCCAGATTGGACCCAGCACAATTCATCTGGAGACAAAGTAACTAACTAGTTAAAAGAATCCGGGAGGACCGAGATCTGGTCGGGAGCAGCTGCGAGCTAATCCAGCACACGGGGATTTGTGCCATTTAAAGCCCTAGACAGCTCTTTTGTGGTGGCTGTGCCAACTCATGCTGCCAAAAAAGCACAACCCCGCATTGCCCCACTGGGTCGAACTTGGGAGGTGGGGCGGCAAGACGAAAAAGGTCTAGGAGACGAGCTAGAGCACCTCCCTCTCTAGCCCTGGGCCCGCCTGGTTGGGGGCGGGGAGCTGCTCTTTCCACACCCCACCACCCTTGCGAGGCTCTGGTGATGATGACAAAACAGGATTCCCAAATCCTGAGCGTGTCCTTTGAATCTAGACACCTTAGATGACACTCATCTTTCCCCCTTACTTCTTTTCCCCCTCTTTAGTGCTTAGTGTCTTACACAACACCTCACCCTCCACGTTGTGCAAACCATTAAGCGCAGAGTTGAAAAACTGGTCTAACTTCAGCAAGACACAGATTACACAACATGGTGAACGAAGGACCCAAAATGAACGAATGAATATTCCCTTGGATGTTATAGCTAGTAAACGGAAAACACGTTGGATGGGGAAGTAACAAAAAAGATTTCAAACCTGTCCCCTCCTCCTTCCTGCTCGGCTATGCAGTGAACATTAAAGTTTCCCTTTATATTCGTGCTGAATTTTACATCAACACATGAGGCAGTGTCGAGTGGAAATACTTCAGCTTGCTTTTTCATTACCTTTACATAAAAGATCTGTTACGACTTTAAAACTCATTCATTTCACTCTTAGTAGAGCTACTTTTCATCAGCCAGTGACTTGGATTTTAATTTCACATGTTTCAGTAAGATAGGACAGTTGTCATCCAAACAAGAATGGCTATATCCCACTTTTCCTATTATTTGGTTATGCTGGGGGTATGGGGAGGGGTAGATGCTTACAGACTGGTCTCAGGTGTCACCAACATTGTTTCCAGAGGAACTTCCAGAGGCAGTGAAATTGGATATATGAACTGGAAGCAGGTAGACCTGGATTCCAATTCTGACTCTGTAGTTAACTTGGCCATCACTTAACCCTTTTCGTACCTCAGTTTTCTTCTCTATAAAGTGGGACACAACTATCCTGTGAAGTAGGCGAGGCCAGCACCAGCACCTGAAGAACGCAGCTTTCAGTGGAAAGCCCTCAGGAGTAAACAGACTTGGCTTCCAATCCCAGTCCTGCCGCTTAGGGACCGTTACTGTAAAATGCGCTACTTCACTTTCCTGACCCATGGTGAACACCTGTGCTGAGTATTAAATGAGATGCCATCTGTGCATCACAGAGGTGGCTGCTCGCTGCACTGTTTGCCTTACAGGTCCTTGGCACTCAGACCCCTAGGGCATCAATGGCCATGTAGATCAGGTATGAACCGGTTAGTCACCGCCTCTGAACACAGGGGAGCGGGAGCACTCCTATAAGCGCTGGGGATGGGGGGCAGGGAGGGCAACAATCTGAAACAGATAGTGGCTAAAGCAGAAACACCATCCGCCCCCCTTCTGCTGAGGAAAAGGGGTACCTGGGCTCAAGAACAAGCAGCTGCTTAGTGCTGTCGGTGGTGAGACCTCTGCCCAATGACCTTCGCTTTAGTTTAAATCTGAGACGTTCTGCACAGCACCCGAAAGGCGGGCTTTCAGGTAGAAGTGCCTGAAGTCGATGTGGCCCGTGCCCCGCGGCTGGCGGCGAGGGGAGGACAGGGGCACCACAGCCCCTGCGCACCCCAGGGTCGCAATTCGCGGGGAGAAAGAACCACCGTTCGCAACCCGGACCCCAGGCCCTATGGTCTGTTGCTGCGGCACGGCGACCCCAGCCTCTAAATCACAACATCCCCGCCCTTATACTGCGTTCGGGAATATGGGAATGTCCCGCGCGGCAAGTCAGCCTTGGTGCTTCCCTGACACATGAGCGAGCCTGGGAGATCCTGGACGTGGGCCTTGCTGGAACTTAGAGACGCGAGACTACAAAAGAGGGGGAAGAGCTCAAACCAAACCGTCGGGAGATGGGCGCCCGGATCTAGGCGCGGTTGGGCAATACATGCCGGACCGCAACTCCAGCACGGGTCCCCAGAAAAGGGGAAACCCTTTAAGGCAGAGAACCGCGGGGCAAGCCAACACGGGCGCACACAATCCAAGCACAGGCAAGGCAGCTCTGTCTGCAAAACGAGGGCTTTGGACTAGAGCGTCTCCCAATCCTGCTATTAATCTAGAACTCTACAGTATTCCATGCTGAAGCTGTCTGAAGCTCGGAAACCGGAAAAAGAGGGGAAAGCGAGGGAAGCCGACAAGGGAGGGGAAAGGGAGGAGCGGGTGGAAGACCACGAGAGGGAAGACTGCGGACGCCCGGAACAGGCTTGGCGGGTTTTCAACCTTACTACACCTCCTCCCACACCTGAGTTCTCACAGCTCGGCCGAGACCCCACGCCCATCGAGTTTGGGCACCAGTTAGTCAAGCTTCTCCTTCTACACACCAGTTTCTAGAAGCCATGGGGCAGGTGGTGGGCAGCACAATAATGCATGCCAGAGATGGAAGGGGGAATGGTTCCGGCTGGGGTCCGGAGGGCAGGTGAGTAGATCTGGAGCTAGGCAGGGAGTGGGACGGCCAGACTGGGAATCGCAGAGCGCCCGCGTCTCAGCCCTCATGCCCCGGGAGGGCCAAACTTCATTCCCCAACTTTAGCAAGGGGAGGGGGTGTTCGGAAAAAAAAAAAAGGGGAAAAAAAAAGTTGCTGAACTTTTCCCCCAACTCTGTAGTGGAGGCGGGACCGGAGGGCGGTGCCTACACCCTGATTCGCCGCCGGCTCTTGTCTGGAGGCTCCGATTGGCGCGCGGGGTCCGGGGCCGGGAAGAGCGGGCGTGGGGGAGGGGAGCGGCCCTCCCAGCCCGCGGGATCGGCTCGCGCCGGGAGCGGGTTAATTTCAAATCGGGGGCTTGACTGCTCCTGGACGGTCACGCTCCCTCTGCCCGCCCGCCGGCCCGCCAGTCCCGGTCCCGGCGTTTCCCTCCGCGGCACCCACCTCGGCGCTGCTTGAGGACCGACTGACGGCCCGACACGAGGGCTCCCGGACCTGAGCGGGGAAGGGGCGCCGAGGAGTCCCCGCTCAGCCCCCGCCGGCTCCAACTGTGAGGTGAACTGACAGGTCAGCGGGACGCAGAGGGATGCGGCGCCCAGCCGGCCCGGCACCAGGAGAGGGCTCGGGAGGGCAGCGGCAGAGACGGCCGTTTCCCGCCTCTCGCTCCGCCGGGGGCCGTGGAGGGAGGAGCTGAGCTCCCGCGCAGAGGGGAGGGGGCGAGCGAGGGGGAGGGGCGGGGATACCGTGGTTCCGGGCGCGGGTTTGCCCGCGCTCAAGCCCCGCGCAGCTAAGGGGCGGTGCCGGCCACGGTCCGGCTTTCCGCGCCAAATTTTTAAATCGAAGGCGGAAGGTTCGGACCCGCCCCTGGCGCCGCCAACCAATCGCAGGCCCGCGTCCAGCTCTCTGATTGGTTAGGAATCGTTGCCCTGGGAACCGCGAAGATGCTGTCCGGGAACTGCAGGGCTGGTGGCGCGCGGACTGGGCCCGGGGGGGAGGGGTAGTTAGCCCGACGAAGAGGGAAGTGCGCGGGGCGCGGAGCGGGTGGCGGCAGGGGGACTGTACCTGGTTGCTTTACTGAACAAATGCAGCCTCCTTGGTAAGATCCAAGATCGTGGCGTGAACTGGCCAACCGAATTGAGAGTACCCAGCGCTTTGCATCTTTAAGGATGTCTTTAAAAAAGGGAAAAGTCTTAATCATAAGGCGCTCTTTAAATACCCAGAGTACTTTTGGAGCTTAAGGACTGAATTTGGAAGTTTCCTATCAAGCTATTTCCCGAGACTTTACCGCTGACCCTGTGCACGTGTGTGTCAGGGGAAAAATTCAGGCATCTAGACGCAGACTTTTGTCGAGATGCTTGGGGTCGTGTCTGCTCAGCCGGAACCAGGGCTGGGGCGCTGAGTCCCGAGCCCTGACCTGTGAACAGGTGGGTGCTTGTGCTTACTAAGGTCCATTTGGTGGGGTCCGGAGAATGGCGCGCCTTCTCTAAAGGTGGGAGAGGACTGTCACTGGAAGTTCTGTGGTTTCCTTTAAGTCTCATGACAGCAGATCGGTTTGCTGAAGGAATTTACTGGCGTTTGATGGAGTTCTCTGCCCAGGAGGACTATCTCTGGTCGGGAATAAAATGTAAATGTAATTTGTCATTTTTCGTTAGTCTTTGTTTAAGTGGCCTGTGGTGTCCATGAGGGAATATTCAACGGATTTCCTGGTTTTATTTTTCTTTAACTTTTTCTATTTCCTTTTCTTTTTAAGGAAAATAAACTTTTTAATAGAATTGATTGGACTACTTAAACCATCAGGGTGTTGGGAGAAACTCCAGATTTTTCATTTTTAAAGAAACTCTAAATGTATGAAAAATTTACAGAATGGAGAATGAAAAGGTACCTTTTTAATTTAGTATTCATCATCCCAGTTTTAAATGCAATATCATCCTGATTTAACCCCATAATTTTTCCATATCCAATATCTTATTAATGCCACATCCCTTTTTAGTTACCTTCTGTAAAAACCCAGAAGGAAGGGAAATTTAATTTTTAACGAGGTGAAGAGTTTGGCCAGAGGTAAAGTAATCCAGAGTTTTTAATGGTTTGATTCCAAATGGAAGTCTCAAAGAGATAAGCAGAGAGAAAAGGTAGTTTTAAGAATAATAAAATTTGTTAGCTGCATTATGATATTTCTCAGAATTCTTGAACAATTAGAATTCAGAGAGGGCATTTGACATGATTTGAGATCAGATTCCTTTTGAAGATAATTTTCTACCAAATCGGCAGCTTCTTAAACTTGGGGGCCACAACACTCAATTTGTGAGCTAGACATTTTGTAAAATAAAAGAATTTTCAGTAGGGGTGTCTTGACTGGTGTCCCACTACTGATAGGTTAAAAAAGGAAAAATGCAAAGTTCCTCGAAGGTTTAGATATTAGTCAAGTAAGAGAACTGCTATCTTTTCTGATAGTCTGAGGCAAAGGACAGCAGCCTTTAGAAAGATGCCATTCTTGGGTCCGCACCTCCCAGGTGCACATGCTTAGGAGGGTCCCCCATTGTATCCATCACACTGATTTCCATGTAAGAACGCCATAGTTGGATTGAGGATATTCAGGTTCAAGGCCTGCACAACCTCTCTCAGCCAGGGTCTCCTCTTCTGCAGAATAGGACTACAGGATTTGATGAAAATTACAAATGGAAAAGCACTTGATAAATCCCAAGGAGTCAGAGACATGTTAAACAGTCCCATTAATCTTTGTTACTAAAGTCACTGAGGAATTAGTGGGTCTCTGTGTTCTTTCACTTATTGCCATTCCAAACATTTTCTCTAAAATAGCCATAGGTAGTAAGAATGTGTGAAGTCCCCAGTGGCCAAAAGTAGAAGAAGAAACATAGTCTCATTCATCTTATTTGTGCTGCTATTAATTTACCTTCATGTCTCAGTGGCAGTCCTGCCTCTGCCAGGAACTAGTTTTGTGACTTTGGATAACTAATTTTCTTTCTCTGGGCCCCATTTTTCCTTCTATAAAGTGAGAGAGTTAGGGGTGCCTGGGTGGCTCAGTCAGTTAGGCATCTGCCTTCGGCTCAGGTCATGATCCAGGGGTCCTGGGATAGAGCCCTGTGTTGGACTCCCTGATCAGCGGGGAGCCTGCTTCTCCCTCTCCCTCTGCTCCTCCCTCCTGCTTGCGCTCTCTCCCTCTTTCTCTCTCAAATAAATAAAGTCTTAGAAAAAAAATAATAAAGTGAGAGGGGTAAATATTGAAAGAGAAGACTTTTCCTTTGCTCTTAGGCACTCTGGATTTTGCTCCCTACTAGGCTTTTGTTTTTGTTTTTTTTTTAAGATTTTATTTATTCATTTGAGACACAGAGATAGAGAGAGAGAGAGAGCATGAGCAGGGGGAGAGGGAGAGGGAGAAGCAGGCTCCCCGCTGAGCAGGGAGCCCGATGCGGGGCCCGATCCCAGGACCCCGGGATCATGACCTGAGCCAAAGACAAGACACTCAACCATGTAAGCCACCCAGGCGCCCCTCCCTTCTAGGTTTTGCCTGTAGGTATGACCGTAGGCTAGCCCTCACCCTTGTCTCCTTGGCTTTCTGACTCTTCCACATCAATGGTGTTTGATTGAGCATTCCATGCATGCAGCCATTGGGCCAGGCAGACACACACAGAGGAATGGGACTTGGTTTCTGCCATATAGGCCTTATTGCAGTGTCATGTGTGCAAGTCACTCCTAGGAGTTTTGGATCACCTAAAATTATCAGTCCTATTAGGGGAAGCTGAGTGAAAGGTATATGAGAACTCTCCATACTACCTGCAACACTTCTCTACGTCAAAAATTATATCAAAAAGGTTTTAAAATTAGGCCTTCAAGGTTTTTTTTTTTAATTCTTGGAACATAAGAAGAAAAATTTAAGTCTGTGCTTTACTGCAAGATTAAAAATGGAAATTTAGCTAGTGAAAAGACAGTAAGTGTCAAGCGATCATTGGAAGAGTTACTAATTTAATCGACTCTCCAGCCTCATTAGGCATGTTTTCCTTAGCAATATTCTATTTATTGTACAATTTCTGAAATCGAAAGCTATCTGATAAATCCTGTTTAAAAGTGGATTTAATTGTTTACTTGTTTTAAACCAGGAAAATCTCTTTTTTGAGCCACATAAAAGAGGACTCATGAAAACACCTCTGAAGGAATCCATTGCAGCAAATATAGTGTTGACGGAGATCCAGCCTGACTTTGGCCCCTTGACCACACCCACCAAGCCCAAGGAAATCTCCCAGGGAGAACCGTGGACACCAACAGCCAACCTGAAAATGCTCATCAGTGCTGTGAGCCCCGAGATCCGAAACAGAGATCAGAAAAGGGGGTTGTTTGACAGCAGGAATGGATTACCGGAGGCCAAAGATTGTTTACATGTAGGTTTGCAAAAGACTGGGTGGAAACTGGTGGGTGCGTGCACCTCTGTGTGTGTGTGTGTGTGTGTGTGTGTGTGTGTGTGTGTTGGGAGTGGTAGCTGTTACAAAAGTGCCAGCAATATAAAGTATTGCCACCTACAGACTGTTACTAGCCTGCTTCCGAGCACAGGAAAGGTTTGGACTCCACCAAATACCACACTAGGAATTCTGAGCCTTTGACTTATTTTCAGTTCAAGCTTCCTTTTTAGGTCTGCCAAGCAGTTTTATACTGGCTCCCACCTTTTTCCCCCAAATTTTGCAGTTGTTGAAGCTAAGCATGTTAGCCCTCAAGTGCAGAGGGCCCTAATAAACCTGTCAAACTTTATTTCCGACTCAGACATTATTTACCTCTTCTTTTGTAGGAACACTTATCCGGAGACGAATATGAGAAATCCCAACCAAGTCGAAAAGAGAAAAGTTTAGGATTGCTGTGTCATAAGTTCTTAGCACGATATCCTAACTATCCCAACCCCGCTGTGAATAATGACATCTGTCTTGACGAAGTCGCCGAGGAACTGAGTAAGTATGCAGAGCGTTCACAGAGACAGTTAGTAATTAAAGTGATTCCGTGGACTTGCTCCCTCAGACCCACACTCATCTAGCCAGTGTGTGTAATGACACGGTAAATCTCTGAAGCCCTGTTAATTTAAGAATGAAGGCAGAGAGTTTCCAATTTCGGTGAGTCTTCAAACAGAAGGAAAAATGACAATGGAGATTTGCTTCTGATTGCATTTCAAAAGCTTGGAAGCTGTAAAGGAAGGCAACATTGTTTTAGGACTTGTTTCATAAACAGCTACAACTTTGAACTTCTGACTCGGTTCCCTCCTTGAAGAGCTGGGCTGAGCAACTAGGTATCTCCACAGTTTGCAATGGGGATGCGCTTCTGTGAGCGGAAGCCGGGCTTTAGCGCTCCCTGCCACTCAATCGACATGTTTGTGTTTGGCAAAAGTTACTGTGTTCCTCCCGCCCCTTTACTCCTTTCTCCAGACCCTTGAATCTAGTGACAGCTAAAAAGGGGTCTGTGGCAAATTTGGGATACCTTTGGAGTCATGAAAATGT